CGGGCCGGGCAGAGAGGGCCTTTTAGTGAATACTCGGTTTGAATTCGGGATGTGATGGCGATGGCGGTCGATCTCCGCCGCCGCCGGGCTATAGGGCCGCGGGGGCGGGAGGGGGGATGGGGGCATATCGCCACATCAGATCGTCCTCCGCGGTCTAGCCCCCCCCCCTCCTCCCTCTCTTTCCTCTCATAAGACTGCAGGCCGGGCAGCTGACCGCAGAGACAGAGGAGCGTGAGAGAGGAGCGACTCGGCTGTCGCGCTGCTGGGGGGTTTATGGCGGGCAGGCTGTCACCATGTGCCACACGCACTGCACCACCACCACCACCACTGCTGCCCCGACACTTTAAAAACAACAACAATCATGGCTGTCCGAAGTGGGTTTCAAGGGCGGAGCGGCGACAGAGAAGTGCAGTGGCAGAAGTAGTGCGTGTGACTTAATAGGGCCGCGGGCTCTGCTGGCGCGTCGCGTCCTTGGCGAAAGCAGCAGCAGCAGCAGCATTTGCGTGGTCAGCAGCAGTTGCGCGTCTCCGCGGGGGGTCCGTGGGTCCCGGGGGACGCCGCTGCTGCAGCTGTCCCCATGGCTGTCGTCCGCGCGCCGGCAGTGGCGGCGGCGGCGCCCCGCCCGGGATGTCGCGGGCCAGCAAGCCGATAAACAGTTCAAACAGCTGCTGCTGCTCCAAACGCGGAAGTGAAGTGCGCCGGAGGAGGAGGAGGAGGAGCGGTGCGTGACGGCGCCGGGAACACACGAAATATACTACACGTCACGTCGGGGTGCTTGGGCCGCACCTCCTCAAACACGGCGACGGCGATAAGGAGCCGCGCACGGGAAGGGTGCGGGCCGTCAGTCGCACTCCATGACGAGGACGACGACGGCGATGATGATGATGATGACGACGACGTTGATGATGAACACACACACACACTTTGAGGCGCGACAGGAGAACGATCACGCGGGATGTGCAAACCTTCTCAATCAAGTCTTCGCGCTCCACTCGATCACGGGCGCGCGCGGGGCGCACTCAGACTCGCGGCTGGTCGTGGCGCCGGCCAGTGCATGTGTGAGTGAGTGTATGCGTGTGTGTGTGTGTGTGTGGGGCAGGAGGCCCGGTCCGGTCCAGGCAGGAGGCCGGCTGGCGCGCGACTGAACGACTAACTCAAGAGAAAGAGGAGACTCATCTCGGTCCGACTACGCCCGGCAGGCCCGGCAGGCCCGGCTGGCCCGGCTGGCCCGGCGCGGGGGCCCACAGCCGGCTACGATACGCGTGGTGTGGCGGGGCGGGGCGCGGCCTGGCGCTGCACCCGCGCGTCCGCGCCCCTCCTCCCCGCGCCGCCGCCTGCCCCCGTCCCCAACGCATCCATCCGTCCGAGTGACATCATCTCATTTCCACCCGCGCTCTGCGCTCGCAGCTACTACGCTCGCCACCCAATTGAAAAGAGAACAAAAAGAGGCGAGTGCCCGATGATGCGGTTTATATGTGCTGCGGCAGCCCCAAATAACTTTCTCCGTGCGTCCTGCTGTGTTTGTTATTGCTTTCGT